CATGAATCAAACTCTTTATTTTATTACCTTAGTGTACTCATCAAAAGAGTGATTCTCTGCCATGAACTTCTCCACTTGAGCCTGTGCAGTTCCATTGACTAGCCAGTCATAGTTGTCAACTGCAAAATACAAAAAAAAAGTAATTATAAAATAATAAAAATCAGTGGGGTGATGGTAAGAATTATTGGAATATGGAGGCTCACCATAGTTCTGAAAATGCTCGTCAGGTTCCTCTAAACTTTCGCACACAGCGGTCTGCAAAGTGGCATGAGCCCAAAAAAGTACGTGATCAGCCACCTTGGCATCCACAAACGAAGATGTGTCTTGTGTCAGCCATGACTGGACCGTCTGTACTCTCTGTGGATCAATGTCAGAGATATCAAAACTTGCTCAAAATACAATTTTACATGAAAAATACCCCAGAAAGTGGTAATTTTCCTTAAAATGGCTATCACACGTACATAACCTCACCTGCAGTGTATTTGTGATGGCATTAAGAATCTCAAAAACAGCAGCTTCCAGATCTTGTAAGGTGGGATAAATTTCCATCTTTTCATCATCAAATGTCAAGGCCATACGAAAGACTGGCAGGAGATGGCGATTGCTCGGATCAAACAGATTGACAAACTCCTCTACACTTGTCTGAAGCAGGGATTTCAACTGGGATTTTACAAAAGAAAAATGTTAGTGAGTACATTTGTAATCGAGGGACTTGCATGTCACAGAAACACATTAGCTGATTAGTAACATGTATTTTCATTACTGCTTACAATATTCCTTGACCAGTTCATTTATTTACTATACATGCAGCATTAAAAAACTCAAACCTTGACAAGTTTCAGTTGTCAAGGTGTCTATAAGTGGACTTTTAATTCATGTCTCCAACAACTGGGTTGCTAAAAATACAATGTAGGACAGTATAACATAATGAATATTATATTCAAGTGCCGTATTTCAATATTTAGTGAAATAACCTTAACTTTTATTTCTTCATGTTGACTTTTCTCTAGTCAAATCCAAGCCCAAAATTAAATCAGCATTATCTCACCTGATTGGAGATGAGGGTGGACGCACAGTCGTAGAAGGAGTCCAGTTTTTCCTCTTTAACACCATTCAGCGTATCGTTACTTGTTAATAAGTGGATGACTTTGGGGAACCAGGTATTCATGATCCGATCTTCGGTCCTCTTACACTCCACAGCCATTTTGTTCTGTAGGCTTTTACAGTCCACGGGTCCTGAAGCCCTGAACCAGCAGAAGACAAAAATAAAATAAAATAAAAAATTAGTTATGGGCTTATTTTAGCTGTGCCATTTTGCATTTAGTCTTTCCATACCTGCACCCTGAAAGATCAACCAGGACCAGTGGAGAAAACATTTGGTAGCCAATATCCAAGACAGTTTGCATTACCGGATGAAGAATGTGCAAGTTTGTTTTTATCATCTTGCGGCTTCTGATAAAGCTATCATGCCAAGGTTGAGAGAAATCAAGAATTCTGCAAAAAAAAAAAAATTGGAAATGTGTTTTACAGAAGGAGAATTAAAGATTTTTAAAGAATTAAAAATAGACAACTACTATTAGGTTATTGTGCATCATTTGTGTACATTAGACACTCACTTTGGCTGGGTGGCTTTTCCTGCGATAACCCCTTCTTTGTCTGGATTCTTTAAGTCTGTGTCCACTAGAGGGAGGGAATATGACATAATGACATACTACATGTAGTCTGCAAACATAATACATACATACATAAACAAATAACTGGCAATACCTGTGTGCTTGACAATGACACTGTGGTAGTCATCGCTGACTTCTTTGCAGAGCTCCTGTAGTAGTTTTTTTGTCTCAGGGCTCTCTTTAAGTTTAGGCGGGACTCGGGCAACAATGGAGTCCAACAAATGTTGCTGGACTGGAACAAATGGGCAGCTCTCCATACACCGCTTCTTCAGGAACATGTAGTCCATCTTCAAACGGTACCCAAATAAAATAGCAGAGTCATGACAAAAATATACATAGGGTAGGTCTCTTTACAGGTCAGATTAAATAGTGAAAAGACAACTTACCAATCGCTTCCGCTTATCACTCAGCATCTGTAAAGCAATGATTAAAATACACCCCATTATATTGTGGACTATTTTAATAGAAATGTATATTTAAAATGTCTGCAGAGGTAGGTAACTGTCATACAGTAGATGGAAACTGTGGCTCTAGTGGCTGGCTGGGCTCTGCTTCCCTCTCATTGCTCTGTCTGTGAGCCTTCATCGCTCTAGACACCCTGTAACAATTCAGTCAACAAACTGTCACATTGCAGACCAATATAATAGCCTATGTAATGATTTACTGCCAACGTTACATTAGATCATCCTCCTTTAGTTGTGGCATTGAGGCACTGACAGAAGTGAGCAGCTGAAGTGAAAACATACAATATCATATGGAATTGCTCTTGTTGCACTTTACTCCTCTTGTGCCTCAGCAGTTTCTTGTCAACCGTTATCTTCTTCGCCATATCCTCCTTTACCGCAGCTGCCTGTCCAACCTCATCCCGCATGTCTTCAATCGGGGGCAGGACTGGAAACTTCGACATGCCCTTCGCCGCCGAGGCTTCGAAAACTTCGGGAGCGGTAGCCATTCCTGTAAACAGCAACCCACTGAAAAGAACCAGAAGGTAAAACAACTACGTTTACAGCTGTTGCTTGTTAAGGCTAAGCTAGTTTAGTTAACGTTGCAGCTGTTCGCTTAGTTATCTTGTTACATTTAACAAACTGACGTTATGTGGCAGTCGTTATCTTAAAGGCTAATAGTTAGTTGCAATAGTTATTAGCTATCCCTTTACCTGCTCTTTCATTCAATATCTTCTCGCTTTGGTTATTTGGTCAGTAACTACTTGACTACATTGCCGCAATTTTTTTGTTTTTACATCTGAAGGCACTTCTGAGACTCAAGTTAACAGCGTCGTTACCATGGAAACAATAAACAGGGTAGCCATAGGATGGAGGCGGGGCTTGTCATGTTGATTCCCGTTGCTAATATCTACGAGCTGAGGGTCACAGAACTTTTTCACAGCAGCCCTTTGACATGAAATAGTAGGGTAATCACAGGTGCTACCAACGAGACTAATTAAGGTTCTGTTCGAGTTAGTGTAACTGTGCCTTTCCAGTGAGAAAACATGCGTAATAGCGACACCCTGACTCTGTCTGACCTGTACACCGCTGTTTACCCTATAATTTAATGTCAGAATGGCTGCTGTGAAAAAGGTCTATTGTCTGAAACACAAAACGACATTAAATAGACAAGAAATACATATTATACATACAAATACAGCAATAATATATTATAGTAATGTAAAATATGGCTGGATAAACATATTTATTAATACAAATATTTATTATGTGTGATATGCCTTACAACATAAAACCCAAATTTCATCTTTATGGTTTTATGAAATTAAAAATAGAACTATTACATTTAATTGTATAAATGTTTTATTGTTTTTTGTGGGTGAGAGCATAATGGTGTTTGTATAGTGGAGATTTATCTTCCTGCAATTCTAACTCTAATTGTGTCCTCTTTCCTCTCGTAGTGAGTTTAACAACAATCACACTGTAACGTTTTGCAGGTGGCACAGTCATAATGAGCCCATTGGACAATACTGAAATGTCTCATTGTCCCGTTTTACACTATTTTTTAGAACTGATTGTGGCTAAAGACTAAAGACGTGCATATAAATTCTCTTTCATACACTCTGCTATTTCTCATCACAACTCTGTTAAGTATAGTTAACATCAGCACACCTCCACCATGCCTGTTCTGACTCTAATGCGTGCTCGACTTTGTACTCATGTTTTTATGTGTTTTAATATGTATAGTCATGCATGGGTGTCCTTTTCTTTTTACCTGTTTGTCTCACCCTGTGTTGCTGTTGTTGTTGTGGTGGTGGAGTTATTTTTTATTGCTACTGCGACAAAATCAATTGCCCCTCTGGGACAAATAAAGATACTGAACATAAATTTGATTACAAAGAAAATGGTTATAATGATGTGAAACACACTACTGATATTTATTGTCTTCCTTTAAGAAACAGGGGTTCTACTATCCCTCTGCTATACCTCAGGCAGTCTAAAGTTTGGTCAGTAGAGGGCCCTTTAGTCCATGTTATTTCAAGTGCCTTCTCAGTCTCATGTACTGACTGCAGTTGCTAAGTTGTGCTGCTATTTGTGACGTGATGCAGTGCCCTATAGACACACTCCTATTAATCCTCCTATGAATAGTAGGATTGAGACCACTGTATGATGCACGATAGAAAATACACTAAAAGAAGGAAGAAGAAGAAGAAAAAGAAGAAGCTTAAAAAAAATTAATCCCCATGGGGAATTTTTTTATTTATTTAATGTTTTACACGTATAGGCCCGAAATATAATCCCCCCCACACACAAAGGGCTTATAGACACGCAAATGTGAAGAGATGGTGGAGCAATGGGCTGGACCACTAGACTAACTACATAATGGTATATAAGATAGTTTAACCCCTTTGACAGTTACAGCAGTAAAATGCTGCTGATACACTGATGCACCAGTATTAACAATCTAATAATGTAATAAAAATATAACAATGGCTGGGGCCATTTTTCTGCAGAAGTACTTTTATTTGTTGCAATACCTTTAACAGCCACTCAATAGATTACTATTGTTTTTTTTTTTTTGGCTGATGAATGAAGCAAACCTTCCATATTTTACCAGCATTTAGATATATGTAATAGTAAATGTCTAAAACACAGGAAAACGACTGTTATACAGAAGCTAATGGGGATCTTAATAAACAATACAATGAATGATGATACAATGAAAATCTGGCTATTCTATTTCTTCCTTTCTATTTGAAACGGCTTATAAGATTAGCATAAATCTATATGGATGATATGTAAACACATGTTATTGCCTTGAGGTAAAATCACAGTTCTCAAATAAAGTCATACAATGCGCTTCATTTCCTGTAGGGGGCAGCAGTACGCAGGTGGCGTGGAGTTTACCGGAAATAGGCCAGAGGCAGCAGCAGCAGAAGAAGAAGAAGAAGGAAGAAGAAGAGGCTCTCCTCCGGTCGCTAGCTAGCTACTGCTGGGAAGTAGCGACAACATTTTCAGGTATTGTGAATTAAGTAACCATAATATGTGTATAGGACTGTAGATGCACGTCGATAGGAGACATTAAACAAGAACAGCACTCGTTCCGGATGTGTGTAGTCGATATAAATGCTACAGAAAGGCTGACGTTGTCTTTGTTTTGATCCGTGTTGACAAAGTCAGGCTTCAATGTTGTGTTTTTCATCGAAGGCCCAAACTGTTGTGACTTAAGATTTCCGGTGTTGTCAAACTAAAGAGCTAATTACCAAAACCTCCATAACGTTATATAATTGTCTTTACCGCGAATTCAATGTTCTAAGTGGCCCGAAAAGTCATTATGTCACACGAACTCTCAAGCTCTCCCTCTGCACCTGTTTAGGATATTATCATAATGAGTTATGCAGAGAAGCCGGAGGACATAACGAGAGAAGAGTGGATGGATAAACTCAACAATGTCCACATTCAGAGAGCTGATATGAACAGGCTCATTATGAACTACCTGGTGACAGGTGAAGTACCGGTCTTTATTTTTACTCAATCAGTTGCCTGTTAAGATCAATTCTGTAGACGTATGCTGTGCTTGAATGTGTAATGTTCAGGATTTCACACCGTCTTCTGTTCAACAGAGGGCTTTAAGGAGGCAGCGGAGAAATTCAGGATGGAGTCTGGAATAGAGCCTAGTGTGGACTTGGACTCCCTCGATGAAAGAATTAAAATCAGAGAGATGATCTTGAAGGGACAGATCCAGGATGCCATCGCACTGATCAACAGTCTGCACCCAGAACTGCTGGATACCAACCGTTACCTCTACTTTCACCTACAGGTAACTGTACTACTGAACTACTACTACTTCTGTTATTTTCACACACTAATGCACCCTCTTGGTTTTTGTGTTTGCAGCAGCAGCATCTGATTGAGCTGATTCGTTTGAGGGAGACCGAAGCTGCCCTTGAATTTGCCCAGTCTCAGTTGGCCGAGCAGGGGGAGGAGAGCCGGGAATGTCTGACGGAGATGGAGAGGACACTGGCCCTGCTGGCGTTCGACAACCCTGAGGAGTCACCTTTTGGAGATCTGCTCAATATGATGCAGAGACAAAAGGTAGGGTCAATGCATATTAGTACAGAAATGCATATTGTCTCTTATTTTTTGCCAATATTATTTTCATATACAAACTACAACGAACCACTGGTAGTTTTTGTTTTTTGTGAAATAATTTTGTTTCTGTGTGCAAAGTAAAATAATGTAAGAAATCCAAAATAAAACTAGGATGTTTGAAAAAAGCTGTGTTAATAATTCTTTGCTCTGTTTAATAGTACTTGGGAAATACTTTTTAAAAAATTGAATTTTCATACGGGGGCTAATAATTTCGTCCTCATGTGTACATAAAATAGGTCAGTTCCAACTGCATGCCACCTGGAACTTATTCGTTATTCTGCATCTGTTTAATGTTAGTGGTGCAAAATGTTTTAGAAAAAATTGAATTTTTTTTTTCAAACTAATTACATACAAATTCCTTTATCTGTCTTTCTATGATGCACTTTTTTTAAAAATCATTTCTCAGGGTATCACATGCCTCATGTCCACATGTTTGTCTTTCAGGTATGGAGTGAAGTGAATCAGTGTGTGCTCGACTATGAAAACAGAGAGTCAACACCCAAGCTGGCCAAGCTCCTGAAGCTACTGCTGTGGGCCCAAAATGAACTTGACCAAAAGAAAGTGAAGTATCCCAAAATGACAGATCTCAGCAAGGGAACCATTGAAGACCCCAAATAAGGACCCACAGTGAAAACATACCACGACATTACAAAATGGACACATTTCCTTTATCTATTTATACCCCAAACAACTGACTCATATAGAGTACAACCTTTTCTTTTTTGTAAGGGTTGATTTTTGATACTTTAATAACTTAGAATGTGCAAACGGGATTAATGGCATTTTAAAACAATTTCTCACACTAAAGTAACAATGCAGACCATTATTTTACTTGGTATTATAATTTACATATTTGTTTATGTAAAATTAGTACACTAGTTTTTCTGTCTGTCGGCAGGGAAAGTTGTTGGCATAGGAAGATGTGAATAAAGCCTAAATTAGGCTGTCACTTTCTGTGTGTGACCACTTAGAATGGGTTAATTCTGATGTTTAGGAAAAATGGTTGGCTCGGTGTGCACTGCCTCAAATAAACACAAACCTTTTCCTTACCAAACCATACACATTTCAGCTTGTAGTCATTTAGCTAGTCCTCTATGTGATGGCAATAGCCAAAGCAAGATACTTGGGATGTTTCAAACTACTGTGACTTTGAAAATTCAGCTTTAGATTGGTACTGCATTATTGCCTGAGACATTACAAGAATATGCGGACATAGACAAGATCATCAGCTACCATGATGTATAGCTTACATCGCGGGAGCAATTAACAAGTGAGACAAGGTGCGATTCCTAGAATGATAAGAACTTTGCAGCATACTGTGACTGTGCAAGCTTAAAGGCAGCCTCCGTTTCATGATGTTATACAATATCACAGAATATATTAAAAGATGTGAATGGATAAATCTATGTCCACAGACATGGAGACACTTTTACAGATGGATTATTTACATGTATGGAATAAGTAGCTCTTTCGCTGAATTTGATGTGCTTTTTTTGCTGGGATATTATTTTGCAATAAAAGTGAATTTTTAAATGCGCAGATCATAAAAGAATGAAAAGCTTGGTGTGTTTTTAATCATTACTACTATTTCGTCCTGCACTGACAATATCGCTGAAGTAAAAGTATTAAAATGTTAAAAGTAAAAGTACTGTGTAGAATAATGTCCCCTGTGACTTATACTATCACATATTATTCTTATTGGTATAGTGTTATTACTGATTAATTCTACAGTTGTCGTTGGTCTAAAAGTATAAAGTCGAACACTTTATACTTTTACTCCACTACATTTCAAAGGTAAATGTGCTTTTTACTCCACTGCATTTATTTAACAGCTTTTGTTAGTTACTTTACAGATTAAGAATTTGCATTAAAAATATATGATAAGCTCAAAAAATGCAATAGATCATTATACATTAACACAGTGGTTCCTAACCTCCTTGGCTAGTGACCATAACTTGTTAACAGTTCCACCAAAGAGACATCTAAGCTCTGCACGGAGGCTCTAAGGTAAAACTCATATAACATGTATAGAAATTCAAATTTGTGACATTTTTTTCTTCCTAATTTCTCTACTTTTACTTTTGCTACTTTAAATATGCCTAAATGTAGCTGATAATTCTTACTCACTTGGGAGTTTAAAAGCTTTTACTTGACTTAAAATACACCTTGCACCACTGATAAGTAGTAAGACTCCAGCAACCATACTTATTTACATCCCACCACTGCTAATTGGTACAAAGCAGTTTTACCAAAAATCCATTACTACACGGATTACTTATAACGGAGTAGCCTCATTGTGCTGCTACTTTATCTCAAGTACACCTTTAACCATTACCACCACACAGACAGTGAGAGCTGCTAAAAGTTGGGGTGAATGCAGACTATTATATAACGCTAACTCATATGGCCAGGAGCTATTTAAACAACCTGGCAGGCAGCACACTGCGCATTATCTCTGGCCCACAGCAGCTTCTCCTCAGCGCGGGCACCATCACGTCTTCATCCGGCAAGGACAGGTCAGGAGGAGGAGGAGGAGGAGGAGGAAAGTACATCCTGGTGCTCCAGCGATGCTCCCATAGACGACACAGACACATTTACTATATTGCACAGTCATGCTTGGAGAGTGACCGAAGCTCTAGAGGCCTCTCTCTCTCTCTCTCTCTCTCTCCGGGTTTTTTTTTAATTTATTTTTTATTTATTTATTTATTTATTTTTTTGCATGATAATGTAATGGATGACTAAGGACAGCTGGAGCCGTTTTTTTTTTTCTTTGAATAGACTAAAATCACTTCCTGGATAACCCTACCGATCAGAGGAAGAACTGCGTGGCTCGGCCAGTGGAGGAGGCAGTAGAGGAAAAAACTGACACGTGGATTACTCCTCCTAGGGCATCAAGGAAAAACAGACCTCCTCCTCCTCCCCTCCTCCTCCTCTAGCCTCACAGCTCAGCTCCGTGAGTCCAGTTTTTACAGGTTATGGATTCAAATATCGAAACGCACACGAGGGATGTGATTGCGGAAATACTTTAAAGAGGAGGGTTGTTGGTTTTTTTTTAAAGGTTGGTGCTGTTTTCTGTACACGTTTACTTTTTTCTGACTGATCGACCGGAAAGAGATTGAAAGTAAAAAAAAAAAAAAAAAAACAGAAAACAGCCGACGCGGTTGAAGGGAGGCTGCTGTTAGCTCGCGTTGAATGGCAGTTATTCAAAAACATGGCAAGAACTATAGTCCAGATTTGGTCTGTCACAAGGAAAACCATCCGTCTGACAAGATCGGAGTCCCTGGATGTCACAAGAGGTGGCCTGAACACACCACCTGGTCCAGGTAAAGAAAACCCTAAATAGAGAAATCACGATACAGTGTATTGAAATTGTTTGCTCGTGTTTACTCGAGTCATCAGCGACTCAATAGGCTAACCAATGTCCCCAGGGGCCCCCAATGTGAGGTGTGTTTAATCTAAAACAAACAATATTGAGACTTTTGTGTGTGTGTGTGTGTGTGTGTGTGTGTGTGTGTGTGTGTGTGTGTGTGTCCTACAACAGAAATATAGACGTCCTATTGTAACCAAAGTGCTTCTGTATCTGCTAGTGAAAAAATGACACGTATCATTATCTGGCGCTCAAGATGTTAGCAGCAGTCAGTGCCACATAGGTCAAATGATTTGTGAAGGAGGAAGTAAGTTGGCCTTACTTTGTGAAAAATGTATTATCATAAAATATCTGTTCAGACACCAAACACCTTCTCTTTTGAGGACGTTGCACATATTCCCTATAGATTTTATTTTAAATGTATCTTATCTTAAATGTAACCCTGATGAAGATAGAAGCCACTTTATATTGGATGTATTTAAAGTGCAGTAGTTCCCTCAGTTGGACATAAGACATCCCATATCAACTAAGTCCAAAGTTTGTCCCCCAGATGTTGCCTGTAGTTCAACCAAGAATTTGTACAGTTAAATCTTCTTCCCCTCCTTTCGCAGGCCAGTGGCGAGGGTATGGACAGTGGTGCTGCTGCTCGGGACATGCCTCCTGTACTGCGCCCGTGTGGCGATGCCCATCTGCGCCGTCAGCATGGCAGAACAGTTCAGCTGGAGCAAGAGGGAGTCCGGCATGGTGCTGGGCAGCTTCTTCTGGGGCTACTGCTTCACCCAAGTGTTCGGAGGCTACGTCAGTGACCGGTGGGTGACGTTGGAGCCCAAACAGTAGTTGTGCTGTGAGCTAATAGTGGGATGACGGATGAGGATAATGAATTCTCTTTACATAGATGTCATGCTGTGATATGAATTCTGATGGTGACACTTATTTTCAATTGGCACCTGTTAATGCTTCCTGCTCGTGAGCTATAATTTGCCTTTGCAACATTCCTGGCAGTGACGCAAACAGCCCATTTGTGTTTGCTCGGGCAAGTCAGATAAAACAGATAATGTGGTGAATGGAGACAGATGTTTTCTCTGTATTATCATGTCGTTAACTGTTGCAGGCTCACGGTGTCATAAACAGGCTGTGCAATGTGTTTGAAGAGCTTTATTCACTTCAGAATTGTCACCTCAAAGTTAAGAGTCTATAATGATTCCTCAAAATGCTTGGTCTGTCAGTTACCACACATCCACAGTGCCTAATTTTACTTTTACAAACATGTATGGCGTAGATAATGTGGGCAGAATTACTATTTTCTTCCGCTCACAACCTTTTTCTAATACAAGCACAGATGTTAAAGCTAACAGACTCTCTATATTCTGTGTACACAGGGTGGGAGGTGAGAAGGTCCTCCTGCTGTCAGCAGCTGCCTGGGGGTCGATGACAGCCTTCACTCCCATCCTGGCCCACTTCTGCTCCCAGCCAATCCTCTCCATGACGCTGGCCCGCTTTCTTATGGGCTTGTTGCAAGGTGAGAGGGACAGCTTTTGAAAAGAGAGCGTGAATGAGATGAACTGCAGTCCTGAAATTACTATATGTCAGTGTGTGTTTCTCAAGGTGTAGAGAGGTCATAATTAAGTTTGATCGCAGTAGGGAAGTCCAGTTTAGCAAGTTTCACTTTGTCTTTTGTTTTATTTGGCTCGAGAATAGCAATTAATATTTTACGTGGTTGGAGTGATCTGGGAGTGTCTTTTAAATAACTTTACTTCTAATCCCTACTTCTACTTCCTGATTTGTTCTTCCTGGAATATCTTTCTTGCTAATCATTAACAGATTATGTTTTATTTCCTGATTTTAGGAGTTCATTACCCCTCTCTGGCGAGTCTGTGCTCTCAAAAGGTGGTGGAAAGTGAGAGGGGCTTCCTCATGAGCACTGTGGGTAGTGGCTCCTACCTGGGGTGAGTCAAGTGTTGTGTAATAAATAGAGGGAATGGTGGGAAAGGGATGAGTGTTCCTCCTAGAAAATCACTGTTGAATGAGGCGTTTCCTTTTGAAATCTGTGGCTATTGGGATCCAACAATCACTTCTAATACCCCCTTTTATTATCTATGTGCAGACAGCCAGTTCAGCCTGTTATTTGTTTGTTTTCAAAGTTCAGCTCATGTCATGCACATTACTTCACTGTGTTGAAACAAAGGTGTGTAACTTGTCATGTCTTGTGGCTGTTTTTTTTTTTTCAGAACTCTGGTGATTGGAGGGGCTGGCTCCCTCATGTTGGACCTGTATGGCTGGGAGAGCGTTTTCTATGTGTCTGGTCTCCTCTCAGTCCTGTGGGCCTACTGCATGTGGAAATATCTGCTCAAAGGAGAAGGTAAGGGAGGCTTTAACAGACCGTATCTGCGGTGTCACTGCACGCTCCTATCTTGCAGCTGCTTATTTGTATAATTGGAGTCAGTGTCCTCTTGTATGCCCACGTGCCTGTGTTCATCTGTGTTTGCAGGGCCTATCATCACCCTGGAGTCCCTGGGAAGTGGTGGGCCCCAATCCAAACTGTCTAAAAGACATTGGTTACGGCTCCTCAAGCAACCTGCAGTCTGGTGAGATAAAGATAAAGGGAGTGTGCGTGTGTGCATGTGCAGTCCTCTGTGTGTATGTGTTTATTTTTGTACTCTGTGCAGCTCCTTTGTGTCCATAGGCACACAACTGTTTGTTTGTTCTCATATTCAGACGAATGAGCAGCTTTAATTGTGCCTGTCTTACAGAGCTTGAGTCAGGAAGTCATATTATAATCCTGTGACTACATTACAGCAACAAAGTCCCAAAATTATAGATTATTGCATATCGAGTTAAGGGCTTATCCAGAAAATTTTATAAATATTTATAAGAATAATTTCAGAGGCAGAATGTAGAAATATATAAAAACATATCTCAATGTTTACAGATGATAAGTTATTGAGGAGGTTTCTGTAATACAACCGCTTCTGTAGACTGAGATCCAGATTTTATATACTGGATTTTAGAATTGCAAGCCTAGTCTCTGGTTGCCTCAGCTGTCTGTTAATGTTTCTGATATTGAGTTTTTCCATGTCCTTCCAGTCTCTCCCTATGGCCCAGATATTTATATACTGTAATGCAACTGATATGCTCTATTTCCAGTGACAGGGAGAACCTCAGTGGTTTTATTTGATGTTTCTGGTCCACCT